TGGTATCATTTGTTCTCTTGATCTTAGCCAGTCTGACAGGGGTAAGATGAAATCTTAAAGTGATTTTAATTTGCATTTCCCTAATTATTAGTGATGTTGAACACCTTTTAAGATGCTTCTTGGCCATGTTTATTTCTTCTTTTGAGAACTCTCTGTTCAGTTCCTTAGCCCATCTTTTAATTGGGTTACTTCCTTTCTTGATTCTTTGTTTTTTGAGTTCGTTATATATTCTGTCACCTCATCTATTTTGATTTTGCCTAGAGACAGCCTTGGCCTGGGGTTACTATACATTCTTAAATATTTGTAATGTGGCTTTTAAAGGAGCATGTTAATCATTTAATCACTTAATCATATTCTTAAGCCACTAGGAAATACTAAATATAGTGCGTTTGCTGATAGTGTAAGGAGGGAAGCGAGCACTCTACACTGCTTGCTGTGAGGAGACGAAAGCCTGTGGGGACTTCAGAGCCCTGGTGGTACTCCCTGGCTTAATTACAACTATGGATTAAGGATAAGTTTAGGAATAAATTAAGCCATGCCCTTATCTGTTCAATCCTCTCTTGTTTCATTATGAGACTTGCTTTCCTCTAAGAAAAGATTCTGACAAATGTGCAATGAAAGTATGTCACTCATTTAATTAATTTCAGTGAAGAAATTAAAGTTAAACCAAGTCAGTTCAGAGAATCTGTGGATGCCATTGGAAGGATTTATGAGGAACAGAGAAAGTTAGAAGAAAGTTTCACCATCCACTTAGGTAAGTCTTTTCCTGTTTGACAGTTACAATTTATTGTAACTTCTAAAACTTTTCCTTATACGTGAAAAACCCCTAGCACATGAGCAGACTGTTCCCATTATTTTATGTCCCAGTTGTGTCCCTTTCCAAGGTAGCCTGTAGTTTTTGTGTTTTAGCTTATAAATTTGCAGGTAAATTACATTTGTTATTAAAATGGGAAGTTGTAGGGCCCATTTTTAGTTATTATTTGGGGCACAGATTTGTCTAGATTCTGCTTTGCATCCTGTTCTGCTGGACTTGGGGACTATTTCTGCCCTAGGCGCCCAGCTCAAGACCATGCATAATTTGAGACTGCTGCGAGCAGACATGCTGGACTTCTGTAAGCATAAGAGAAATCACCGGAGTGGCGTGAAGCTCCATCGGCTCCAGACGGCATTGTCACTTTACTCCACGTCGCTCTGTGGCCTGGTTTTACTTGTAGATAATCGGATTAATTCATACAGTGGTATTAAAAGAGGTAAGTTGATGCTAAGTATATTTATTTGATTAAAATTCTCCTTGTAATGCCACCTTTTAAAAGATGGATCTCACTCTATAGCCCAAGCTGACCTTGAACTCAAAACAATCATCTTGCCTCTGCCTCCTAAATGCTGAAATTACAGGTATGAGTTACCACACCCAGCTTTCACATCAAACCATTTTCATGAAGAAAATAATTATGAGAAAATCTATATTTTTAAATTACTGCAGTGTTTAAGTGCATTGAACCACAGACATACTCAGTCCTAGTAACTTTGAATTCAGTAGGCTAGAAGGAAACATATGTGTCCCAGCCACTTTAGCATTCTTAAAGTGCTCCGTGATGCTTAGTCTTTCCTAAAACATACTGTATGTAATACTCCTATAGAGAAAATTCTTATTTCAGGCCAAAATGAAAATAATAATCCAACTATAATATATTTTTCAACTTAGAAGCAGATCCTGGTGAGTGAATTTTAGTTCATCCATTGTCTCATTTTCCTTCCAAATTTAAAAAAAAAAAGTTGTATTTTATAGCATTTGGTGAGGATAGCCTATAATCAGAAGGCTTGAAGCTATATTAAAATTTTCTTGTCTACTAATTGTTTACTCATTTGAGTGATTGAAAAGGTTTTGATCAAAATTGTTGTGCCCTAATGTAAAACATAGTTATTGCAGATAACAAGCAATCATACTTACGAGTTTTATTTTGTCTCTTAAATCTTGTTTCCTGTAAGCAATTAATAGATATCGATAGTTCATATTTAGAAACTTGTTGGCATTTGGGGCTCCTTAGATTTTGCCACAGTTTGCCAAGAGTGTACGGATTTCCACTTCCCAAGAATTGAAGAGCAGTTGGAAGTTGTCCAGCAGGTGGCGCTGTACGCGAGAACCCAGCGCAGGAGCAAGTTGAAGGAAGCACAAGGTAAGTATAAAACTGGGACTTCCAGTGTGTTCTCTCCCCACCCACACTGCTGGCCTAACTATACATGGAGTTCACAGTGATGGCATTTCCAAGTGAATAGTTAATATTTTATATCTTCAGAAGCTTGGATTCTGATCTCAATTTCCCTTCTTTAGATGATCTTTTTCCAGATCCAGCCATTTTTAAATTTCAGTAAAATAGTTAAAGAATTCAGTGGAAAGTTGGTCTTTTGATCCAAGTCATCTCTAAAATGGCCATAATTGTTACTACAAAGAGCATTGAAATCAAAGTAGGAAATGTAGCAAAAAAATGTATATTTAATATCATTTAGTGCTCTAAATTGAACACAGGGCCTTGAACATGCTGAACACTTGCTCGGGATTGAACATAGGACCTTGTACATGCTGAGCACTTGCTGTCCCACTAGGCTGCATCTTGAGCCCCACTCCATCTTTGATTGGAAAAAAAAAAAACAGTATCCTTAAAAGACTTTTTTTTTTCTATATTTATGCACAATATAACATTCAAAATTATTTAGACAGTTTATTGCAAATGCTTTAAAATTTATTGATATGTACTTTACATTAAAAAACTTTGATGTAATTGGTGGTCAGAATTTCTTTCATTTTAAAGGTAGTGTATTCAAAGATCACAGTTTAATGATTCAGTACACATGTACATTCTACATGTGTGTCAGTTTTGTCTCACTGTGACAAAAATACCTGCAAACTGAAGAGAAGAAGGGTTATTGGCTGATAGCTGTAGAAACTGTAGTCTGTTGTGGTGTGTAGGGTATCATGGAGCAGAGCAGAACAGTCACATCAAGGCAGAGTGAATAAGAGAGAGACAGGCAACAGCCAGACACACAGCAAGGACTTACCTTGGGGACTGATTTTCTCCACCTCGGCCTCACCTCCTAAATTTCTAGAACCTTCCAAAATAATGCATTTAAATCATAAGGAAATAAGGGATATTATATCTTCAAATCATAACAACACTGTAAACTAATCAGCTCAAGCTAGGAGTATATCCATCACCTTAGAAGGTGGCCACTCTCTTTTCTGTGCTGAGAACATTTATTGGTTTTCTCTTCATGAATTTCATGGCTATAGAAGACTGAGTAGAGTTGCACTCATTTTATACATCAGCGCTCCAAAACTTACTCATCTGTGTAACAAACATCATATCCCTTGTCTAGTACATTACCGTTTGTTCCTTTCTCGTTCCATGTTGAGTGTTATTCTGTGCTCTGTGAGTTCAACGATTCTAGTTTGCATATAAGTGAGATCACACTGTACAGGAGTCTCCCCTTATCCATGGGTGATATTCCAAGAGCACCAGTGAGATGCCCAAACCACATGTAGTACTGAGCCCTACCTCCACTGTGTTTTCTTTTACTTAAACTATGATAAGCTTTCCCTTTTTCTAAAGGAAGCACTACATAGCTTCTCTGGCAAATCTGAATTATCAGCATCACTAGATTCTTAAGCTTGGCGGCTACTACTATTAAGCAAAATAAAGCTTACTTGACACAAGTCCTGTGATACTATGACAGTTGATCTGACAGATGACAGCTTCTAGCTGAATGTTGGGCACATAGAATGTACATTGTGAATACGCTGGACATGGGGATGGGTCCTGAGTGCGGCAGAATTTGATGGTATGAGATTTCATCTTGTTACTCAGAATGGTATGCAAATAAGAACTTATGAATTAATTGTTTATTTATGGAATTTTCTGCTCAATATTTTTGGGCTGTGGTTGATGATGAATAAGCTCAGAAACGGCAAGTGAAGGTGGACCTCTGCCTTACCTTTCTGTGCTGTCTCACATGTACCTTCCAGATATGTTAAGGTCCAGTTAAGTTTCTGTCTACAGAGGCATGTGTTTTTATTTATTTGTTTACACAAGTGGCAGTTTTCCATGGGCTGCTTTTTGCACTAAAGACTGTCTTGGAGATCATTTCCTGTCACTTCATAAAGACCCTCACATGTCTTTCTGCTGTGGTGTAGTAGTGCGTTACAGGATGCCTAGTACTAACTAGTCCCCTGTTAGGAGATATTTATTCTCAGTTTTTTAATATGTAGTAGTGCATAAATAACATTGCACATGAGTCATGCATGTGTGTGAGAAGTAAGCATGTCTATAGAATTGACTACTAGAAAGAAACTCCTGGGCTAAAGGGCATGTAAGTTCTACCTAACTTTGCAGGGCTGACACTGCTCCCTGGTGCAGCTCTCCTAACTTACACTCCCATGAAAGGTAACTGTGTCTTTGCTGTGGTGATCTGTACACATTTCAGAGTCAAGCTGAGTATTAGCAAATCAGTGTGGAAATAGATCCCAACAAGGGACTTTTCAGAAAATGTCACTGTGTCTTTTAGTCCTCTTCTCAACCTCACTCAAACTAGCAGTGATATAATCAGAAATATTTTATTATTGTTAGTGACTCTAAGCACATGACAGTTGAGATCAGGATAAGTGTGGGAGAAGGAGGAGGAATCTAAGTTTATTTATGAGAGATAGTATGCTGTAAGTCACAGGAAGTTTTTAAACCACCTATGGTTAAGGCTGTGTGTGTGTGTGTGTGTGTGTGTGTGTGTGTGTGTGTGTGTGGTGTGGTATTATTTTGTTTTTGTTAAGCAACTACTTTGTGGTTTAAATGAGTCATGAAACAAGTCCACTTATAAAAGACAACTTTCTTTGTTTGTTTGTTCATTTGTTTTGAGATGGGGTCTCCCTATGTTCTGAGGCTTCCCAGAACTTGCTGTGTAGTCCAGGCTGTCCTTGAACTTGTGCTTTTCCTCTCTCAGCTTCTTAAAGGAACTTCCTTGTTATAGAAGAGTCTCGTGAAAATACTTTTTAACCTTTTCTTCTGTGTGTACTTACATATTTGTTCAGCATGTTTGCACCTGATCTACTACTACTTGCTTATTCTAAAACATTTCATTTGTTTGTTTGTTTTTACTCTTGTTATTATATTTATTTCTATAGTCCATGATAAAAAGTCAAAAATTGTCTTCTGTACATCATATATATAATCACCTTCTCTTAGCATTGCTGCACAAGGTTTACTGATTAATATATGTAAGGGGTACTGGACTGTGATCTCTTCCCTCTTGTTTACTTAGTAAGGATTCTGTTTGTCATTCCCTTGTGATCAAATTAGAATACTTGTTTCTTCTAATCTGTGCTGTGACCACTTATTCAAAGCATATCAATTACCAAGCTCTTGTGTTTGAAACAAACTGTTGAAGAAATAGGCATCTAACAGCTCAGAGCCTTCTGTCTGTGTTCTCTCTTTCTCTCTCTCTCTCTCTCTCTCTCTCTCTCTCTCTCTCTCTCTCTCTCTCTTTATTGGTTTATAAAATATGTGTGTTTATAAGATATAGTGACATAAATAAATTCATCAAAGTAATCATTAGATAAAAATATTACATTTGTTCAGATCATTTTTAAGTGATAATGTTTTAGTATTTATAGTTTAGTCATTTGAAAGTTTGACTGTTTTCAAATATGGAATATTATTCCAAATTGGATTCCAAAATAGTTTTTAATTCATTTGGAGTAAGTATATAGCCATTTACAAATTACAAATTTGAAAGGTAGTATTCATTTTGTATTTGTGAATTGGCAGAATTCTTATACAATTCAAATGCATCTTCTATTAAAATATGTGCATATGTGTAAATAATTTGTGTTCAACCTTAATGTATGCTCAGTCATAAAGTTTCTCATTTAACCAACATTTATCCTTCTAAGAAACTATCATGCCTTAATAAAAAAGAAAAACTATTAAATATCTGAAAAAAGTTCTGCTTGAAACAATGTCACATATCTGTTTGAAATTAACTGTATATAGTGTCAGATGAAAAAGCCTCTTTCAGGAATGTGCTGAATATAGAAAGGTCCCTGGTGCTACTCACTGTTTCGTTGTGGTGCAGAGCAGGTTATTGACAACAGTGACTCAGAGTCTAAAAATAAAGATGAGCACACACACCTATGTAATGAAGTTATTTGATGTGTGGTTAACTTAGTGCACCAAACTCTAACACAAAAAATAGAGTATTGGTGAGTCTAATGTGGTTAAGACCCTGCAGGTTCAAGAGCCAATTCTACCTCTTACCTGTGCATCCTTGGATAACTTACTTAGCCTCTCTTTTCTCATTTATAAAATGAAGGAGTTAGTTTAATTGTAGAGCATGTGCTTAATATTTGCAGGGCCCTGAGTTCAACCGTAGGTGAGAAAAAAGAAAGAGGGTCAGGGATACCTACAGTACAGGGTTCTGGTTTGGGGGTTTTGTCAGAATTCATAAGACTGTCCATGTGCAACATAGCAGAATGCCAGGCACACAGAGACACACAGTACGTGTTTGCTATTGTGACTGCTTTGAAACAGTGAGAGTACTGTGTTTTCATATGTGGCAATATTCTTTTGTTGCATTATCTTATGAATAGATTCTGGAAACCAAAATGGTGGAAGTGACGATAAGTCTAAGAATACGGAGAGAAACTACTTAAACATTTTGCCTGGTGAGTAGTAGTTTGTTTTAAATCGCAGTTTTCTTACAGTCACACACTTTAAAACAATGGATTTGAAGCATGTATTCTTGTGTGGTATGTATTTATAAAATGTTTGCCAATATATTCTTTTGAAACAATATTTTGTATCTATATAATACACTTTCGCAAGTGTTCTCCAACATGCATCGTTGTTTTTATGCTAGTAAGGACTTTAGATCTATGTAAGAAAACTCAAAAGGTTACATTAGTTCATTATTATTTAGTTACATTACCATTATTTTCTACTTCAGATTTTCTTATATTTTGTTCCTTAGTTACTTAAGAAATAAGCCAAGAGGTCATTTTTACTCTAAAATATGAGTGGTAGTACAAGAGATAAAGTAGTTGAACTAGTCGAAAGAGTAGCCCACTTGGTTTCGAGTCTTATTTCCATTTTTTCCTCACACTTTTCTGCCTTCCATGTCTTATTATTGGACGTGTTGCTTAACAACTGGAATTCATTCTCTCAGCCTTCCTCCTGACTGAGTTTCACTCTGATGACTCTTGCTCTCCTCTTTGTGACAGGATATGCATGACATGGAAGCCTCTTTGTGCCCTTTTTAAATGTAAGTCTTTAAAACTTAGTGGTAGGTTTTAGCTAAAAAATGGCTGGCCATTCCTCCATAGTTTTCTGTTTTCTTCTAAGGTAGTTTCTCACATTTCCTTCCTCAGATCACCAACACATAGGCCACGTTACTAATTCAGGCAAAAGTCATTCCCATCTCTTGTGTTCATTTTAGAAGGCACAGCTGATCACTGCTCATCAGCTCATCAGCCTCCAAATTTCCTCCCACCTTCAGATATCCGACCTTCATGGGTAATGTTAGAATCACCACGAGCCTTCTCCTCTTGTGGAACAGGAAACTGTTTTCCTCTCCATCTAAAATTACCTTCCACGAAGATTTTTTTATTACTACTCTTCATAGATCCATAATTGAAATTATCCATTACCATGGATGGTACCCATGTCTCTTTATTGTTCTATTTATTTCCTTTCTTACTTTTTTAAAGCCCAGAAGTTAGTATCATTATTACCACAAAATAAGGATGGTATGTATTAAGACTGAGCTAGAAAAGGAGTATTGGACTATTCCATTAGATACACTAATAGCATCTGAATTTCTATTTAGTCAAAGGATTTCTACACAACCAGCATATTTATAGGAGATGAAAAAAGATAAATAAAAATTATTTTAAATCATGAAGAAAATTAGTTTTATTAACATATTTTAACAGAAATAGCTGTTACTTTATCATGATCTAGGAACTTCTAGTTCTTACAACAACCTTGTAGGGAAAGAGCAGTGAGGTATCATTTCTCACATTTCCTATTCAAAGGAACATACTGAGCAAGTTGAATTGATTTTCCAATATCACTTGGTCAAAATGTGCTGGAAAAAAGGAGTCTTTGACTTCCAGTCGAGTTCTTTTCTACGATGTAGTGATTCGGTTACTACTGTCAGCTCCAAGACTGGCCCCCATTTTATTAATGGGTAAAATGAGACCAAGAAAAAGTCATTTAAGGTCAAACAAAATAGTGCCAGATTGGGGATTAAGAGCACCTGACTTGTTCATTAAGTCATCCTACCTCACTGCTAGACCACAGCCCATTCAGTGCTATGACTCCCATCAACTGAGCTATCAACAGGCATTTAAGAATAAGACCCGTCACTGGGCCCAGAAGATTATTGCCTCTTATGGTCCACTGCCTTTCTGACAAGCAGTCAGTGTCTTTCATTGATGTCCAGGAAGTTGTGACTGTACTGCACTTGGACAATTTCCTTTTTGCTTTCTCCTTGTCTAGTTTATTTTGTATCTCTAACTGTTCTTTGTTTATGTAATTCCTGTTCAAGGTTTTTTTTTTTAAAACTTTTAGCTAGGTATAGTGGTGGATACCTCCAGAAGCAGGCTGATCTCTGTGAGATTGAGGCCAGCCTGATTTGCATAGTGAGTTCCAGGCCAGCTGGGGATAGGGAGACTGGCAAAATCAAATGAACAGACAAACATGAAATAGGTTAATAAGTAGCCAGATAGATCAACCAGTGATAGATCAATCTAGTTTTTAAATATTAAAACACTGATTTGTAACTTTTATTAAAATAAATTTCATCTATAAGAATAAAGTAATTTATAACTTGATCTCAACTTTTTCTTGATGGCAGTTGAATTTTTTTATACCAAAAATTGTAAAGCTTCAACAGAAGTGCAAATAAAACATTCAGATAAGATTTTATACTTCAAATATTCTACCAACTTGTAACTGGAAAGATGGCTCAGTGTTTACGAATGCTTACTGTTCTTCCAGAGGACCTGGGTTTGGTCCCCAGCACCCACATCAGGTAGCTCACAACAGCCTGTAACTCCAGCTCCAAGGAATCCAACACCTCTGGCCTCCAAGAACATGTGCACATACCCACACACATGTGCATGATTAAAAATAAATCTGAGGGGCTGGAGAGATGGGCCAGCAGTTAAGTGCACTGGTTGCGTTTACAGAATTCTCTTGCAGAGGACCTGGGTTCAATTCCCAGCACCCACATGGTGGCTAATAACCCTCTGTAACTCCAGTTCCAGGGCCTTCTGACCTATGTGGGCATTGCACAACATGGGTACACTTACATATATACAGGCAATACACTCATACACATAAAATTTTAAAAATATATAAATTTTTTTTTCCCTGAGCTGTTTAAATATACATAAAAACTTCTGGTGGGAGTTAACATATAATCTGTTCTTGAAGAGAACACTAGACAGATGTTGTCTGCTCTTTGAGTGATGCTGAATGGGACAAGGCTGGTGAGACACATGAAGATATTTCTCCTTTGCTTGAACTATCAGGTCAACTATAAAGTAATGGGGGCTTCAGTATAATAGGATATCTTTCAAGGTGAAGTTATGTCCTGGAATGTGGACTGCATCTTCAAGATGTGAATTAAGAACCTTTTCTGTGGGGCTGGAGAGATGGCTTAGTGGTTAAGAGCACTGGCTGCTCTTGCCGAGGGCCCGGGTTCAGTTATGATCACTCACATGGTGGCTAACAACTGTCCTATAACTAACTCCAGTTCCAGGGAATCTGGCACCCTCTTCTGACCTCTGTGGGCACTGCACAACATAGGTGCACTTACATACATATAAGCAATACACTCCTACACATAAAACAAAAATAGATACATAAAGGCAGATCTCTGTGAGTTCAAAGCCAGCTTGGTCTACATAGGGTTCAGTTCCCAGTGCCCACTTGGCAGTTAACAACTGTCTGTAACTCCAGTGCCAGGGGGTCTGACACCCTCTTCTGACCTCCACAGGCATTGCCCACACAGGTGCACTTAATATACGTGCAGGCAAAACATTTATACACATAAGATAAAATGCTCATAATAAATAAAATAAATAAAAATTTTAAAAACGGAGATCAAACAGAATGATACTTAAAAGTATGTGAGGACTGGAGGAGTCCTGTATCAGGTAGGACAGTCATGGAAGGCCTTTCTAAGGAGGTGACATTTGATCTGAGATGTGATTGATGGAGTCAACCATGTGAGAATCTTGGAGAAAAGCCTTCCAGGCATCAACCCTGAACTGGAAACAAGCTCTGCAGTTTTGAAGAGCTGAGCAAAGGCTGTGTGGCTAGCACAGAGAGGAGAATTGAGGCAAGGGGATGTCGAAGAGAAAGGCCAGGTCCAAATCATGTAGGCCTTGTAGGCACACTGAAGAGTTGGCTTTTTTCAGCTGTAGTGTGACCCTGCTGGATGAGTTTACGTAGGAGAGTGACATAAACTGTATTTGAATCATTTTGGCAACAGTGAAGAAATGGTTTGCAGTCAGGCAGGAATGAGAGCAAGGGAAATTTTTTCGGTTAAGAGAATATTACCAAAATGTAGATGAGTGATAAAAATACAGTGTTCAGATTTGAGATGTCCTTTCTTTTCCTTTAATGGTGGGGGAACTAGAACTTAAAATAGCTGGTAGTGGATGGAGGGGAGACAGGGAAGGAAAGAAAGGAATTGAGGACAACTTCTGCATTTCGGATCTGAGAAGCCGGTAACAGAGCTGGATCCCATCAGCTGAGACCAGGGAGAGCAGGCTGAAGATGCAGGGAAGCAGGTAGCAAAGTAGCATTTCACATGTTAAATTTGACATATTAAGCATTTATTCCAAAATAGAGGTTACAGATACTCATTTGCCTGTTATTCATTGGTCGCTTCATCCTGATTATGAACCTCTTGACACATTGTCTCTTATTTTTCATTGTTTTTTTCCCGAGAATAAGGAGACGTGATCACAGTTGCTTCCTGAGCCCCATGCAGGGTCCTGACACCAGTTCAACACATTGGCTCCCCTTGCAGTTAGTTGTAAAGCTGTGGATAAATGTGACTCGTGCATTTGAAAGTTATGACTCCATTTGTTGTTCTCAGGAGAATTTTACATTACACGGCATTCTAATCTCTCCGAAATCCACGTGGCTTTCCATCTTTGTGTGGATGACAACGTCAAATCAGGGAACATCACTGCTCGCGATCCAGCCATTATGGGACTCCGAAATATACTTAAGGTTTGCTGTACCCACGACATCACAACCATAAGCATTCCTCTCCTGCTAGTGCATGATATGTCGGAGGTAAGCCCAAAAATCTGTGGCTTGATGACTATGTTACTTATTTATATTCCTTAATAACCTCCATTTGAAAAGGTTCCTTTTCTTTTTGCTGATGGACCTTTGTCTTTCTTGTCTGATTAATAGAGTTGAGTGACACATAAAATAGTGAATGCTCAAAGAATGATAGTGCCGCCCTATGGTGAGAGTAGGAATTCAAGCTAACCCTTAGCTTTGGATAAGACCTGTGCCTTCCTCCCTCGCTTCCTCCTGCCTTCCCCTCCATGTGCCTTTCCTTCTCCAGTTCTGCTTTAGGAAGTAGTAGATTTACCCTCACATTTACATTGGCCTTTGAGAATGTTTTGCATTGTCTGCGTGTGCATTGGTAGGAGGTGGACAAAGGTTGCTGATGGCAGGAAGAAGAGAGCCTCAGTTTAACGTTTCCTCAGGGATGGTCTTTGGATGATTCTACAGTTAAGATGTGACATAGTCGTTCATCTGTTTTATTACGTGTTGTAACTTACTTGGTATTTTTAATTTTACAGTTTTATGGCTGTTTTCCTTTCCAGCTGTCTTTCCATACCCACAGAAAAACTAAATAGAGGGAATAAATTGTAGAAAGTAAAGTCTAAAATTCAACTTCAGTAAGCTGAAGGAACAAGTGAGCTGTAAGCCAAATAAATGTAACAGATTAGTCTTTTGGGGAGGTTTCTTGCCGAAGTAAAGAAACTTCCTTAGAAGAAGTAAATGTAGAGGAGGCCCCTCAGCATGCTTATTTTGTTGTTTTTTTTTTTCCTCAGAGGGAGGTGGGGGAGTGGCTAAGTGTTTGTTTGTTTGAAACATCTTGCTACATGTCCCTGGATGACCTGGTACTTACTATGTAGCCCACGCTGGCTTCAAACTCATGGCAGTCCTCCTGCCTCAGCCTCCTGAGTACTGGGATTACAGGCATGAGCCACAACACTGATGAGGAGGCTT